CACTGAAGGACAGAAGACCCACGCGGGTGAGGTAGCTGATAAGGCATATCTGCAGAGAGCGCTTAAGGTAACACTAAGTTGTACCGATCGCCTTCTCAGTTCGTGCGTTCCTGATAGAAAATGACAAAAACTTATTGTATGTCTGCAGTGTTACAATCTGCCTCAGGTTTAGCTGACTGAAAATTGATTTGCTTTGACCTCTCTGACCCGGCCCAGTGCTCATTCTGTGTTTTTTAACCTACTAATATTCACCTGGATAGCTTTTCAAATGTTTTGAATCTGCGCCGTTTATTGCTAGTGGAATAGTTGAGTAGACCAATTCGTTTATAATTGACTGTTCACTGTTCTTGTACACATTGGCTGCATAGGAATAATAAAAACTAGGAAATGTGGCCTGAAAGGAACTAGCTTTCCAGGAATGGAATGACCTTTTCTTATACAACTTTGCTGAGCTATCCAAGGTGATTGCTTGCACGTTCTCATTTAGCAAATAGCAGTTTGGTACTGGCCAACATTTTCAGGCGTGGAAGAAATTCTTCTCTGGTATACGTAACGAGTGACAAAAACTCCAGCACCAAAAAACTCTAGAGGTTTTCTATCTACTCCATTTTGGGGGACGAGTATACTCAAGACAACATCCATTTATCGTGCGCGTGCTCTTGGCAGCCGCAGCAAGCCAGCGAACCATCACTGTTGAACACTGTTGTTTAACTGTCGATTATAACGATGATGACAACGACGATGATGATGACCTCATTACCTTCTCCATGTAGTAAACTGGCACCCTGCCTATCATTACAGTGAGGACCAACGAAGGTGCCTCGTCTTGTGACTAGAACTGTGTCAGGCTTCAGTCACGTACTGTTGTTGTCAACGGTCTCTGTATCGTATTAGTACATCTCGATGTGGGTTTCATTTCGGCGATATACTGAAGTGTGGAGAGAACAACTTCAAACGGTGGTTATCCGGCGATGAGCAATAGGGATACGGGATTTGTGCGGAATGAATAAGCTAGGGACGAAATTTGGTCTTTGCTTTGGTGCTGAATGCCGGCAGTGTTCAAACCTAGCTAAACCAGTATACTTTCTAAAACATGGGCAATTCCATCATACCTGTGGGTTTTTTAGACGATCTTCACCTCTTTTTTGTGCTGTGAAGATCGACTTCGAATCGGCTGTTCACAACATTTTACGAGCTCGCGTAATCCACTTTTCTGACTTCATAACAAGCCCAGCTCCAATTGTGACTCGAACTCGACTGTTCTCATCATGTATATGCACGAAGCAAGTGATGTTAGCAATCAGATTGCTAACACGTTGAGCACGTCGACACGACTCACTTCTGGCCATTAATCGAGTCAATTGAATAGTCCGTCTAAAATTATGGCAGTATTCAGCAGACGGATAGCAGTGCAGTCAATGTTAGATGAGAAGGTTCATGGAAAAAGCAGATTCTCTGAGCCTCTATTTTTAAATCTGGCCCCGTTCTCACATCACTAGCATTGCCTATGGGTGGAACGGCGCCTGATATCACGTTGACGGTTGTCGATCTCTGACTGCCTTTTCTAAATTTCTAGGCTTTTCGCTCATCGGAAAAGAGGGAGTCAGTAATGTTGAGAATAATCCTGTTACATGTAGCAAAGTGACGCACGTTGAACTACCACATCCATTCAGTCTACAAGGCAAATCTTAGAATTGTGTCTTCGGAGCTACTCTCTTAGATTCAAATGAAAGGTAGAAAACCAATGTGTACTTTTCACAAACCAGTGGAAAGTCAAACTCTCGTTCCTGGTTTACATAACTGTAATCGCAAGTTGTAAACCAGATGCTCTCATCAAAAACGCCTACTGTTGGTCACTCAAGGCAAAACACGAGTGCCGAATATCTAGTCCAGAAAATGAGGTGACCGAATGTTGCTCCCTGTTTGTGTACAGCAGTAAGGAAGACTCTCGTCACACACTACCATGATGCACTGAAATTCCTTCATTGGTGGATTTTTGCCCGCTTCAAAGTTGCCTATACGATGGGGCTATGATTCGTCTGCAAGTGAAATGTAACGATCAAAGTAACTGGCTGAGGGATAAAATTACAGAGTGTCACTGTATGCATCGATCGAAAGTAGTACTATCCAGATCGCTTCACACAGTCAGGTGATGCTTCTGTTGAAACTAGTTGAATCCTTTCCGAAATTTCGTGATGTTTCCAGCGCTTCGTCCGACCATATTCACATCTGTCATGTCCACACTTTTATCCCGTACAGTGGAGTTGACCACCTGTTGAAACCTATTTCGGACACAATATAATCGAAGTAAGAGTGGGGGTGGGACTCTCAGCTGTTCGCTTCAGTTCATGTACTTTTTCACACACTTGCTAGCAAACAGTTGGAATCGATATGTCACACTAGAAAGACATTGGTAGATTGAACTATGAAATCCAAAAGTATCTTACGGTAAACGAAGGTGAGACGAGAGAGCTGTTTCTACCAATGAAGCCTATTCTGATGTGCTGTTGTAAAGAGAAATTTCTGAAACCGCCTAACTACAATGCAACCAGTGATGCCTGTACTAAATACGATACAGGTCAAATTTAATCTGATCTAACTGAAAATACCTAAAGATCTTGTCAACCAGGTACTGTATGTACTGTAAAATTGGACACAAAATTGGGCTCTGGGCTACTGATAGGTCTGAGAAACGTTTCAAGTAGACTAATTACAGTGAAACCTCCCGTTCATTTTTGGTAGTCTAAACACCCAGACTATTAAACACATTGCGAACAATTCAGAACGCAAATCGCGGAAACATCTGTTTAGAGCTTGGCTGTTTACAAAGGCTGTCTATGACGAACTTCTATGATAAACATTTGCCTGTCAACCACTATATCAAACTTTTCTCCTTTTCGCTTAAGCGAATATACACTCATTTGCAAACTAATTTGGTTTTTCGAGAGACTCACCTGGAACCAAGCTGAATCTGTCGTTTGTGATGTTCTCAGGCAACTGAATGTGCTGCACCAGGCCGCCTCATGTTTCAGTCGCTACGATATTCGAGATGTCGCGATACATGTATATCGTTGTAATGTACTACTCCTAAGGTTGCTGAAATTCCGTCGAAAGCCCAAGGCCAGTTTCGCCCTTTTTCTGTCGACGGATTTTCAGCAAACTTATGAGTAGTACATTACAAAGATATAACTGCTCGCTTGTTGCTATAAACTACAATAATGAAATTTACTGTTATACTGAAACACCATTTATTTTACGACTGCGAATTGCTGCGAGACATTTTATACAACCCTATCCTTATAGAGCGACCTTCCCCAAACAGTTTTTTCAATAGCCTCTGTGGAGTGGTTTTACCGTACGGTTGCAGTGTCTCGTTAGAATATAAATGCCCGGAGGCAGCGATCTGAATTCGACCGTCCTCCGTAAGGCTGTCACGTAACATACACAACATGGCAACGGACCAACACTTGTCTCTGTCACTAATCAGCGTCACGTGATGATTTGTTTGCATTCCAAAATCAAAACGATGAGAAAAATCGTTCGGTATCCGAACGACCTCGTTTTCGAATCCCACTCAGAATGTTTCAGTCTCATCTGCAAAATTTGCTTGCCCGCAGTGTATGGTCAAAAGGCGCACTTGTGGATACTTGACATTACCTGAAAAACATGGAAAACATGGTCAAAACTGAAAATTAGCAAATGGAGGCACAGCATTAGTAAATTTCATTTAAAGCTGGTACACATCTGTAAGCCTGTAAAAACAGGACATCTATGTCCACGCATTTAGGAATTATCTTCTTGTTTGATCAGACACCCCTGCTACTTATTTTGTGTTGTTTCTGTCCATTCTGTCATCAGAGTACATTATGTGAATTATACTGCACCGCCCACGACCTGCATTATCAACCTCTGTTTGGACTGCATTGTTTTCCTATCTACTTCACTTAGTTTTGTTTGCCTCTCATTCCCAAATAGTTCACTATATCGATTGGAAACAGTTTGGAACCGATTGAGAAGTCATCGTTTCAGAAGTGCTTAGTAAACAGTCGGCAAGCAATCGATAAAAAACCACAGATTATTTACTAAGTCCTTCTTCTTCAACGATTTAATCGATATTCTTTTACTGTCATTTACTCAAACCCAAATGGCTCCAATCCACGAGCATTGTTGATGAGGTTCGAACACGGGTTATGGGACAGTTTATCCAAAAAAATAAGAACAACGTATTGACCTCAAAGATTCTGAGATGGTCTGCGGCAAAATGCACTGTTGCACCAGAAGACGGTACATTTATCTGAAATATTAAGACTAAACTTTGGTAATAGGTTCACCTTTGTATTACGACTAGATCCGCTAAGCGTTTTCAAGGTCGTCAATTAGACATGGTATTGTACAACCCAATGAATCCCAGTCTGACAAAAATGATAAGCACTAGTAGTATACCAACTCTTTTTTGCGCGTTCGTGCCACTACTACTTTAAATCATCTGTTCATTTCAGACTGAGCATTTCCACTTCTTCCCCGCAAAAACATTTTTCCTCGTGTCGCGACAGACTAACACAAAACGAACCTGTCTCCGTGATAGGTTCAATCGTGAAAACTGAGATTCACTTTAAAATATATCCAGTCTGATACATCACTCATTTGGGAGTACTGAATCCACAGAGG